TCCTCCTCGTCCTCGTCGCTCTCCAGCCCCGAGACCTCCCCCAGCTCCTCCGCGCGCAGGGCGCTGAACGGGCGCGTCTGTCTGCGCACGCGCGGGCGGTCCAGCACCAGCGGCTCCTGCGCACGCGCGGCACGGGCGAGAGTCACGTGGGGGGGGCACGTGGGGGGGGCACGTGGGGGGGGCACGTGGGGGGCACGTGGGGGACACGTGGGGGGCACATGGGGGGACACATGGGGGGCACATAGGGGGTACATGGGGGGCACATGGGGGACACATGGGGGGCTATAGGGGGCTATAGGGGGTACATAGGGGGCACATGGGGGGTACATAGGGGGCACATGGGGGGTACATGGGGGGGACATGGGGGGCACATGGGGGGCTATAGGGGGTACATGGGGGGTGCATAGGGGGTACATAGGGGGCACATGGGGGGTGCATGGGGGGGACATATGGGGCTATAGGGGGTACATGGGGGGTACATAGGGGGCTATAGGGGGTACATAGGGGGCTATAGGGGGTACATGGGGGGGACATAGGATGCTATAGGGGGTACATAGGGGGCTATAGGGGGTACATGGGGGGCTATAAGGGGTACATAGGGAGCTATAGGAAGTACATAGGGGGTACATAGGGGGCTATAGGGAACACATGGGGGGTACATAGGGGGGACACATGGGGGGCACATGGGGAGCACATGGGGGGTACATAGGGGGGGCACATGGGGGGCACATAGGGGGTATATAGGGGACTATAGAGGGTACATAGGGGGCACATGGGGGCTATAGGGGGTACATAGGGGGTATAGGGGGTACATAAGGGGTATATAGGGGACTATAGGGGGTACATGGGGGGCTACAGGAAGTACATAAGGGCTATAGGGGGTACATAGGGAGCACATAGGGGGCTACAGGGGGTACAGAGAGGGCTATAGGGGGTACATAGGGGATACATAGGAGGTACAGAGGGGGCCCATAGGGTGCTATAGGGGTCCATAGGGAGACCCATAGCGAGACCCATAGCGCCCCATAGAGCGGCGCTGCTCACGGCCCACCTGCGCCTCAACCAACCCCGCTACGCCACCCTGCCCAACATCATGGTGAGTGCGCCCCATAGCGAGACCCATAGCGAGCCCCATAGCGCCCCATAGAGCGCCGCAGCTCGCGCCCAACCTGAGCCAAAACCAACCCCCAAACGCCACACTGCACAACCTCTTGGTGAGTCCGCCCCATAGCGCCCCATAGCGCCCCATAGCGCCCCATAGCGCCCCATAGCGCCCCATAGCGAGACCCATAGCGCCCCATAGAGCGGCGCTGCTCACGGCCCACCTGCGCCTCAACCAACCCCGCTACGCCACCCTGCCCAACATCATGGTGAGTGCGCCCCATAGCGCCCCATAGCGCCCCATAGCGAGACCCATAGCGAGACCCATAGCGCCCCATAGAGCGGCGCTGCTCACGGCCCACCTGCGCCTCAACCAACCCCGCTACGCCACCCTGCCCAACATCATGGTGAGCCCCATAGCGCCCCATAGCGCCCCATAGCGCCCCATAGCGAGACCCATAGCGCCCCATAGAGCGGCGCTGCTCACGGCCCACCTGCGCCTCAACCAACCCCGCATAGCCCAACAGAGTGCGCCCCATAGCGAGACCCATAGCGCCCCATAGCGAGACCCATAGCGAGACCCATAGCGAGACCCATAGCGCCCCATAGCGCCCCATAGCGAGACCCATAGCGAGACCCATAGCGAGACCCATAGCGCCCCATAGAGCGGCGCTGCTCACGGCCCACCTGCGCCTCAACCAACCCCGCTACGCCACCCTGCCCAACATCATGGTGAGTGCGAGCGCCCCATAGCCATAGCGAGCGCCCCATAGAGCGGCGCCCATAGCCTCAACCAACCCCGCTACGCCACCCTGCCCAACCTCATGGTGTGTGCGCCCCATAGCGCCCCATAGCGCCCCATAGCGCCCCATAGCGAGACCCATAGCGAGACCCATAGCGCCCCATAGAGCGGCGCTGCTCACGGCCCACCTGCGCCTCAACCAACCCCGCTACGCCACCCTGCCCAACATCATGGTGAGTGCGCCCCATAGCGCCCCATAGCGCCCCATAGCGAGACCCATAGCGAGACCCATAGCGAGACCCATAGCGAGAGCCCTAGAGAGGCCCACCTGCGCCTCAACCAACCCCCCAGACGCCACCCTGCCCAACATCATAGAGTGCGCCCCATAGCGAGCCCCATAGAGAGACCCATAGAGAGACCCATAGAGAGACCCATAGCGCCCCATAGAGACCCATTGCGCTGAGCGGCGGTGCTCACGGCCCACCTGCGCCTCAACCAACCCCGCTACGCCACCCTGCCCAACATCATGGTGAGTGCGCCCCATAGCGCCCCATAGCGACCCATAGCGAGACCCATAGCGAGACCCATAGCGCCCCATAGAGCGGCGACCCATCACGAGCCCACCTGCGCCTCAACCAACCCCGCTACGCCACCCTGCCCAACATCATGGTGAGTGCGCCCCATAGCGCCCCATAGCGCCCCATAGCGCCCCATAGCGCCCCATAGCGAGACCCATAGCGCCCCATAGAGCGGCGCTGCTCACGGCCCACCTGCGCCTCAACCAACCCCGCTACGCCACCCTGCCCAACATCATGGTGAGCCCCATAGCGCCCCATAGCGCCCCATAGCGCCCCATAGCGCCCCATAGCGAGACCCATAGCGAGACCCATAGCGCCCCATAGAGAGAGCCCCCTAGCGCCCATACCAGACCCGCTAGCCACCCTGCCCAACATCAGAGAGACCCATAGCGAGACCCATAGAGAGACCCATAGCGAGACCCATAGCGAGACCCATAGCGAGACCCACAGCGAGACCCACAGCGAGACCCATAGCGAGACCCATAGAGAGACCCATAGAGAGACCCATAGCGAGACCCATAGAGAGACCCATAGCGAGACCCATAGAGAGACCCATAGAGAGACCCATAGCGAGACCCATAGCGAGACCCACCTGAGACCCATACCAACCCCATACGCCACCCTGCCCAGACATCAGAGAGCCCCATAGCGAGACCCATAGCGCCCCATAGCGCCCCATAGCGCCCCATAGCGAGACCCATAGCGCCCCATAGAGCGGCGCTGCTCACGGCCCACCTGCGCCTCAACCAACCCCGCTACGCCACCCTGCCCAACATCATGGTGAGTGCGCCCCATAGCGCCCCATAGCGCCCCATAGCGCCCCATAGCGAGACCCATAGCGAGACCCATAGCGAGCCCCATAGCGCCCCATAGAGCGGCGCTGCTCACGGCCCACCTGCGCCTCAACCAACCCCGCTACGCCACCCTGCCCAACATCAGAGTGCGCCCCATAGCGCCCCATAGCGCCCCATAGCGAGACCCATAGAGACCCATAGAGACCCATAGGGGCGCTGCTCACGGCCCATGCGCCTCAACCAACCCCACGCCACCCTGCCCAACATCATGGTGAGTGCGCCCCATAGCGCCCCATAGCGCCCCATAGCGAGCCCCATAGCGAGACCCATAGCGAGACCCATAGAGACAAGGGGTGACCCATAGCGCCTCAACCAACCCCGCTACGCCACCCTGCCCAACATCATGGTGAGTGCGCCCCATAGCGCCCCATAGCGCCCCATAGCGAGACCCATAGCGAGACCCATAGCGAGACCCATAGAGCGGCGCTGCTCACGGCCCACCTGCGCCTCAACCAACCCCGCTACGCCACCCTGCCCAACATCATGGTGAGTGCGCCCCATAGCGCCCCATAGCGCCCCATAGCGCCCCATAGCGAGACCCATAGCGAGACCCATAGCGCCCCATAGAGCGGCGCTGCTCACGGCCCACCTGCGCCTCAACCAACCCCGCTGCGCCACCCTGCACAAACATCAAGGAGGTGCGCCCCATAGCGCCCCATAGCGCCCCATAGCGCCCCATAGCGAACATCAGCCCCATAGCCCCGAGACCCATAGCGCCCCATAGAGCGGCGCTGCTCACGGCCCACCTGCGCCTCAACCAACCCCGCTACGCCACCCTGCCCAACATCATGGTGAGTGCGCCCCATAGCGCCCCATAGCGCCCCATAGCGAGCCCCATAGCGAGACCCATAGCGAGACCCATAGCGCCCCATAGAGCGGCGCTGCTCACGGCCCACCTGCGCCTCAACCAACCCCGCTACGCCACCCTGCCCAACATCATGGTGGCTCAGATGGATCTCAATGGGGCTCAGATCCATCTCAATGGGGCTCAGATGGAACCCAATGAGGTTCTACCCCCCACTTGTGGGCCCCACCTTGGCGAAGGTGGAGCCCTGGCCCTGGCTCTCGATGGTGATGGTGGTGGCGCGGCGCAGCAGGATCTGGTCGATGTCCTCCTCGCAGAACTTGGAGCCTTCGTCGTCCTCCTCCATGATGGCGGCGTAGGCGCCGCGCCGCAGCAGGTCCTCGATCTCCTTCTTGGAGAGCTGCTGCATGGGCTGCGGGGGGGGGGGCAACGGGGGGTCGGGGGGGGCAGTGGGGGGCAATGGGAGTCAATGGGGGTCAATGGGGTCAATGGAAGTCAATGGGGGTCAACAGGAATCAATGGGGGTCAATGGGGGTCAATGAGAGTCAATGGGGGTCAACGGGAGTCAATGGGGGTCAATAGGGGTCAATGAGAGTCAATGGGGGTCAACAGGAATCAATGGGGGTCAACGAGAGTCAATGGGAGTCAAGGAGAGTCAATGGGGGTCAACAGGAATCAATGGGGGTCAATGGAAGTCAAGGGGGGGCAATGGGGGTCAATGGGGGTCCATGGCAGTCAATGGGGGTCAATAGAGATCAACAAGAATCAATGGGGGTCAATGGGGGTCAACGAGAGTCAGTGGGGCGCAATGGGGATCAATAGGAGTCAATAGGGGTCAATGGGAGTCAATGGGGTCAATGGGGGTCAATGGGAGTCAATAGGGGTCAATGGGGGTCAATAGGGGTCAATGGGGATCAATGGGCGTCAATGGGATGGGGTCAATGGGGATCAATAGGGGTCAATGGGGGGGTCAATGGGGGTCAATGGGAATCAATGGGGACAATGGGGGTCAATGAGGACAATGGGGTCGATGGGGACAATGGGGGTCAATGGGGACAATGGGAGTCAATGGGGGCCAATGGGGGTCAATGGGGGTCAATGGGAGTCAATGGGGGTCAATGGGGTCAATGGGGGTCAATGGGGGTCAATGGGAGTCAATGGGAGTCAATGGGGGGGGGTCAATGGGAATCAATGGGGGTCAATGGGGGGCAATGGGAGTCAATGGGGGTCAATGGAAGTCAATGGGAGTCAATGGGGGTCAATGGGAGTCAATGGGGGTCAATGGGAGTCAATGGGAGTCAATGGGGGTCAATGGGAGTCAATGGGGGTCAATGGGGTCAATGGGGGTCAATGGGGTCAATGGGGGTCAATGGGGGTCAATGGGAGTCAATGGGAGTCAATGGGAGTCAATGGGAGTCAATGGGGGTCAATGGGGTCAATGGGGTCAAGGGGAGTCAATGGGAGTCAATGGGAGTCAATGGGGGTCAAGGGGAGTCAATGGGGGTCAATGGGGATCAATGGGGTCAATGGGGTCCATGGGGTCAATGGGAGTCAATGGGGGTCAATGGGGGTCAATGGAAGTCAATGGGAGTCAATGGGAGTCAATGGGAGTCAATGGGGGTCAATGGGAGTCAATGGGGGTCAATGGGGTCAATGGGGACAATGGGAGTCAATGGGGGTCAATGGGAGTCAATGGGGGTCAATGGGGGTCAATGGGGGTCAATGGAGTCAATGGGAGTCAATGGGGGTCAATGGGAGTCAATGGGGTCAATGGGGGTCAATGGGGGTCAATGGAGTCAATGGGAGTCAATGGGAGTCAATGGGAGTCAATGGGGGTCAATGGGAGTCAATGGGGGTCAATGAGGACAATGGGGACAATGGGAGTCAATGGGGGTCAATGGGGGTCAATGGGGGTCAATGGAGTCAATGGGAGTCAATGGGGGTCAATGGGAGTCAATGGGGGTCAATGGGGTCAATGGTGGTCAATGGTGGTCAATGGGGGTCAATGGGAGTCAATGGGGGTCAATGGGGGTCAATGGGGTCAATGGGGGTCAATGGAGTCAATGGGAGTCAATGGGGGTCAATGGAGTCAATGGGAGTCAATGGAGTCAATGGGAGTCAATGGGGTCAATGGGGGTCAATGGGGGTCAATGGGGACAATGGGGACAATGGGAGTCAATGGGGGTCAATGGGCTCAATGGGGGTCAATGGGGACAATGGGGGTCAATGGGGGTCAATGGGAGTCAATGGGGTCAATGGGAGTCAATGGGGTCAATGGGGACAATGGGGATGCTCCATGGGGGGGGATGGCAGACCCCAAACCCACTCTCTTCCCGCCCCATCCCCATCACTCCCCATTGCCCATCCCACCCCATACCCACCAGAGCCCCGCACTGCCCCATAGTCCCCGTTACCCCCCATTACCCCCCATTACCCCATTGTCCCCATTACCCCGTAGCCCCCCATTAGTCCGTTGACCCCATTAGCCCCCATTCCCCCATAGCCCCCAATACCCCCCATTACCCAATTACCCCCCATTGCCCCACAGCGCCCCATAGCCCCCATTACCCCCCATTACCCCATAGCCCCCAATACGCCCCATTGCCCATTACCCCATTTACCCCCATTACCCCATTACCCCCCATTACCCCATAGCCCCCCATTACCCCCCATTATGCAATTACCCCATTACCCCCCATTGCCCCACAGCGCCCCATAGCCCCCATTACCCCCCATTACCCCATTACCCCCCATAGCGCGCCCCACAGCGCCCCATAGCCCCCATTACCCCCATTACCCCATAGCCCACATTACCCCCCATTACCCAATTACCCCATTTCCCCCATTACCCCCCATTGCCCCACAGCGCCCCATAGCCCCCATTACCCCCCATTACCCCATAGCCCCCATTAACCCTCATTACCCAATTACCCCATTTCCCCCATTACCCCCCATTGCCCCCATTACCCCATTCCCCCCATTACCCCATAGCCCCCCATTACCCCATAGCCCCCCATTACCCCATAGCCCCCATAGCCCCCATTACCCCATAGCCCCCATTACCCCATAGCCCCCCATTACCCCATAGCCCCCCATTACCCCATAGCCCCCATTGCCCCATAGCCCCCCATTGCCCCATAGCCCCCCATTACCCCATAGCCCCCCATTACCCCATAGCCCCCCATTACCCCCCATTACCCAATTACCCCATTACCCCCCATTGCCCCACAGTGCCCCATAGCCCCCATTACCCCCCATTACCCCATAGCCCCCCATCACACCATAGCCCCCATTACCCCATAGCCCCCAATTACCCCATTTATCCCCATTACCCCATAGCCTCCCATTACCCCATAGCCCCCATTACCCCATAGCCCCCATTACCCCATAGCCCCCCATTACCCCCATTACCCCATAGCCCCCCATTACCCCATAGCCCCCCATAGCCCCCATAGCCCCCCAGTGCCCCACAGCGCGCCCCACATCACCCACCCCGGCCACGGCTCCCTCCCTTCCGCTCATGCTCTGCAGGACGGCGCGGTCCAGCCCCAGCTTGAGGCTGGCTTTGTCGAACATCTCCCGCTCGTAGGAGCTGCGCGTGATGAGCCGGTAAACCTTGACCGCCTTGCACTGCCCGATGCGGTGGCACCGCGCCTGCGCCTATGGGGCAGACCCACAGCGACCCATGGAGACCCACAGCGACCCATAGAGACCCATAGAGACCAACAGCGACCCATAGGGAGCCAGAGCTGCGCGTGATGAGCCGGGAAACCTTGACCGCCTTGCACTGCCCGATGCGGTGGCACCGCGCCTGCGCCTATGGGGCAGACCCACAGCGACCCATGGAGACCCACAGCGCCCCATAGAGCGAGACCCATAGAGACCCACAGCGACCCATAGGGAGCCAGAGCTGCGCGTGATGAGCCGGTAAACCTTGACCGCCTTGCACTGCCCGATGCGGTGGCACCGCGCCTGCGCCTATGGGGCAGACCCACAGCGACCCATGGAGACCCACAGCGCCCCATAGAGACCCACAGCGACCCATAGGGAGCCAGAGCTGCGCGTGATGAGCCGGTAAACCTTGACCGCCTTGCACTGCCCGATGCGGTGGCACCGCGCCTGCGCCTATGGGGCAGACCCACAGCGACCCATGGAGACCCACAGCGCCCCATAGAGACCCATAGAGACCAACAGAGACCCATAGGGAGCCAGAGCTGCGCGTGATGAGCCGGGAAACCTTGACCGCCTTGCACTGCCCGATGCGGTGGCACCGCGCCTGCGCCTATGGGGCAGACCCACAGCGACCCATGGAGACCCACAGCGCCCCATAGAGACCCACAGCGACCCATAGGGAGCCAGAGCTGCGCGTGATGAGCCGGGAAACCTTGACCGCCTTGCACTGCCCGATGCGGTGCGGTGGCACCGCGCCTGCGCCTATGGGGCAGACCCACAGCGACCCATAGAGACCCACAGCGCCCCATAGAGACCCACAGCGACCCATAGGGAGCCAGAGCTGCGCGTGATGAGCCGGGAAACCTTGACCGCCTTGCACTGCCCGATGCGGTGGCACCGCGCCTGCGCCTATGGGGCAGACCCACAGCGACCCATGGAGACCCACAGCGCCCCATAGAGACCCACAGCGACCCATAGGGAGCCAGAGCTGCGCGTGATGAGCCGGGAAACCTTGACCGCCTTGCACTGCCCGATGCGGTGGCACCGCGCCTGCGCCTATGGGGCAGACCCACAGCGACCCATGGAGACCCATAGAGACCCATAGGGAGCCAGAGCTGCGCGTGATGAGCCGGGAAACCTTGACCGCCTTGCACTGCCCGATGCGGTGGCACCGCGCCTGCGCCTATGGGGCAGACCCACAGCGACCCATAGAGACCCACAGCGCCCCATAGAGACCCACAGCGACCCATAGGGAGCCAGAGCTGCGCGTGATGAGCCGGGAAACCTTGACCGCCTTGCACTGCCAGATGCGGTGGCACCGCGCCTGCGCCTATGGGGCAGACCCACAGCGACCCATGGAGACCCACAGCGCCCCATAGAGACCCACAGCGACCCATAGAGACCCACAGCGAGAGACCCACAGCGACCCGGCGAGGAGCCGGGAAACCTTGACCGCCTTGCACTGCCCGATGCGGTGGCACCGCGCCTGCGCCTATGGGGCAGACCCACAGCGACCCATGGAGACCCATAGAGACCCATAGGGAGCCAGAGCTGCGCGTGATGAGCCGGGAAACCTTGACCGCCTTGCACTGCCCGATGCGGTGGCACCGCGCCTGCGCCTATGGGGCAGACCCACAGCGACCCATGGAGACCCACAGCGAGAGACCCACAGCGACCCGGCGAGGAGCCGGGAAACCTTGACCGCCTTGCACTGCCCGATGCGGTGGCACCGCGCCTGCGCCTATGGGGCAGACCCACAGCGACCCATGGAGACCCACAGCGCCCCATAGAGACCCATAGAGACCCATAGGGAGCCAGAGCTCCTGGCGAGGAGCCGGTAAACCTTGACCGCCTTGCACTGCCCGATGCGGTGGCACCGCGCCTGCGCCTATGGGGCAGACCCACAGCGACCCATGGAGACCCACAGCGCCCCATAGAGACCCACAGCGACCCATAGAGACCCACAGCGACCCATAGGGAGCCAGAGCTGCGCGTGATGAGCCGGTAAACCTTGACCGCCTTGCACTGCCCGATGCGGTGGCACCGCGCCTGCGCCTATGGGGCAGACCCACAGCGACCCATGGAGACCCACAGCGCCCCATAGAGACCCACAGCGACCCATAGGGAGCCAGAGCTGCGCGTGATGAGCCGGTAAACCTTGACCGCCTTGCACTGCCCGATGCGGTGGCACCGCGCCTGCGCCTATGGGGCAGACCCACAGCGACCCATGGAGACCCACAGCGCCCCATAGAGACCCACAGCGACCCATAGAGACCCACAGCGACCCATAGGGAGCCAGAGCTGCGCGTGATGAGCCGGGAAACCTTGACCGCCTTGCACTGCCCGATGCGGTGGCACCGCGCCTGCGCCTATGGGGCAGACCCACAGCGACCCATGGAGACCCACAGCGCCCCATAGAGACCCACAGCGAGAGACCCATAGGGACCCACAGCTCCTGGCGAGGAGCCGGGAAACCTTGACCGCCTTGCACTGCCCGATGCGGTGGCACCGTGCCTGCGCCTATGGGGCAGACCCACAGCGACCCATGGAGACCCACAGCGCCCCATAGAGACCCACAGCGCCCCATAGGGAGCCAGAGCTGCGCGTGATGAGCCGGTAAACCTTGACCGCCTTGCACTGCCCGATGCGGTGGCACCGCGCCTGCGCCTATGGGGCAGACCCACAGCGACCCATGGAGACCCACAGCGACCCATAGAGACCCACAGCGACCCATGGAGACCCACAGCGCCCCATAGAGACCCATAGGGAGCCACAGCTCCTGGCGAGGAGCCGGTAAACCTTGACCGCCTTGCACTGCCCGATGCGGTGGCACCGCGCCTGCGCCTATGGGGCAGACCCACAGCGACCCATGGAGACCCACAGCGCCCCATAGAGACCCATAGAGACCCATAGGGAGCCAGAGCTCCTGGCGAGGAGCCGGTAAACCTTGACCGCCTTGCACTGCCCGATGCGGTGGCACCGCGCCTGCGCCTATGGGGCAGACCCACAGCGACCCATGGAGACCCACAGCGACCCATAGAGACCCACAGCGCCCCATAGAGACCCACAGCGACCCATAGGGAGCCAGAGCTGCGCGTGATGAGCCGGTAAACCTTGACCGCCTTGCACTGCCCGATGCGGTGGCACCGCGCCTGCGCCTATGGGGCAGACCCACAGCGACCCATGGAGACCCACAGGGCCCTTATAGTGACCCATAGAGCCCCATAGAGACCCCATGTGGACTCATAGAGACAGCACAGTGACGCACAGAGAACCCCAGAGCCCCTATAGTGACGCACAGAGACCCATAGGGACCCACAGAGCCCCTATAGTGACCCACAGGGACCCATAGGAACCCACAGTGACCCATAGAGCCCCTATAGTGACCCACAGAGACCCATAGGGACCCATAGAGCCCCATAGAGACCCCATAGAGCCCCTATAGTGACCCACAGAGCCCCCATAGTGACCCACAGTGACCCATAGAGACTCCATAGAGCCCCATAGCGACCCCATGTGGACTCACAGAGTCCTTATAGTGACGCACAGAGACCCATAGTGACACACAGTGACCCATAGGGACCCATAGAGCCCCATAGAGACTCCATAGTGACCCATAGAGCCCCATAGAGCCCCTAGAGTGACCCATAGAGCCCCATAGAGACTCCATAGAGCCCCATAGAGACCCCATGTGGACTCATAGAGCCCCTATAGTGACGCACAGAGTCCTTATAGTGACGCACAGTGACCCATAGGGACCCATAGAGCCGCTATAGTGACCCATAGAGCCCCATAGAGCCCCATAGAGACTCCAGAGAGCCCCATAGAGCCCCTATAGTGACGCACAGAGCCCCATAGAGCCCCATAGTGACGCACAGAGCCCCCATAGAGCCCCATAGCGACGCACAGAGCCCCCATAGAGCCCCCATAGTGACGCACAGAGCCCCATAGAGCCCCATAGAGCCCCATAGTGACCCATAGAGCCCCCATAGTGACGCACAGAGTCCCCATAGAGCCCCATAGAGCCCCCATAGAGCCCCCATAGAGCCCCATAGTGACTCATAGAGCCCCATAGAGCCCCATAGCGACGCACAGAGCCCCCATAGAGCCCCATAGGGACTCATAGAGCCCCACAGAGCCCCATAGAGCCCCCATAGAGCCCCCATAGAGCCCCATAGCGCCCCCTAGCGCCCCCCAGTCCCGCGCCCCACACCTGGAGGTCGTTCTGGGGGTTCCAGTCGGAGTCGAAGATGATGCAGGTGTCTGCGGCCGTGAGGTTGATGCCCAGCCCCCCGGCGCGCGTGCACAGCAGGAACACGAAGCGCCCCATAGAGCCCCATAGAGCCCCATAGTGACCCATAGTGACCCATAGAGACCCCATAGAGCCCCATAGTGACCCATAGAGCCCCATAGAGACCCATAGAGCCCCATAGAGACCCCATAGAGCCCCTATAGTGACCCATAGAGGCCCATAGAGACTCCATAGAGCCCCATAGAGACCCCATAGAGCCCCATAGAGCCTCATAGAGCCCCTGTAGTGACTCATAGAGTCCCATAGAGCCCCTATAGTGACCCACAGTGACCCACAGGGACCCATAGAGCCCCTATAGTGATGCACAGAGCCCCATAGAGCCCCATAGAGACCCCATTTGGACTCATAGAGCCCTTATAGTGACGCACAGAGCCCCATAGTGACGCACAGTGACCCATAGAGCCCCTATAGTGACGCACAGAGCCCCATAGAGCCCCATAGAGACCCCATGTGGACTCATAGAGCCCCTATAGTGATGCACAGAGCCCCCATAGAGCCCCACAGTGACGCACAGAGACCCCATAGAGCCCCATAGAGCCCCCATAGAGCCCCATAGAGCCCCATAGAGCCCCACAGAGCCCCCTAGCGCCCCCCAGGCCCGCGCCCCACACCTGGAGGTCGTTCTGGGGGTTCCAGTCGGAGTCGAAGATGATGCAGGTGTCTGCGGCCGTGAGGTTGATGCCCAGCCCCCCGGCGCGCGTGCACAGCAGGAACACGAAGCGCTCCGAGTCGGCGCGGCTGAAGCGGTCGATGGCCGCCTGCCGCAGGTTGCCCCGCACCCGCCCGTCCAGGCGCTCGTACGGGTACCTGGGGGGCACGGGGGGGGCGTTAGGGGGGGGCTATGGGGCTGATAGAACCCATAAGGGGCTATGGGGCTGATAGAACCCATAAGGAGCTATGGGGCTGAGGGAACGGCTATGGGGGGGCTATGGGGCTGAATGGGGGGGCTATGGGGTGTCTGTGGGGCTGAATGGGGGGGTCTATGGGGCTGAATGGGGGGGCTATGGGGCTGATAGAACCCATAAGGGGCTATGGGGCTGAGGGAACGGCTATGGGGGGGCTATGGGGCTGATAGAACCCATAGGGGGCTATGGGGGGGCTATGGGGCTGAGGGAATGGCTATGGGGCTGAGGGAACTCATGGGGGGCTATGGGGGGGTATGGGGATGAGGGAATGGCTATGGGGCTGAGGGAACCCATGGGGGGCTATGGGGGGACTATGGGGATGAGGGAACTCATAGGGGGCTATGGGGATGAGGGAATGGCTATGGGGGGGCTATGGGGCTGATAGAACCCATAAGGGGCTATGGGGGGGCTATGGGGCTGATAGAACCCATAAGGGGCTATGGGGGGGCTATGGGGCTGATAGAACCCAGAGGGGGCTATGGGGGGCCTATGGGGCTGAGGGAACTCATAGGGGGCTATGGGGGGGCTGTGGGGATGAGGGAACTCATAGGGGGCTATGGGGATGAGGGAATGGCTATGGGGGGGCTATGGGGCTGATAGAACCCAGAGGGGGCTATGGGGGGGGTATGGGGCTGAGGGAACTCATAGGGGCCTATGGGGATGAGGGAACTCATAGGGGGGGTATGGGGGGGCTATGGGGCTATTGGAACTCATGGGGGGGGTATGGGGGGGGTATGGGGATGAGGGAACTCATGGG